TCTTCTTCTATTTCTATTACATATACATTGGTGTGCCTCATGGTGTCCTTTAACTCTCTAAGGTTCTGTTCATATTTATTCATTCATTTTTCTCTCTGTTGCTCATATTTCAAAGTCTCTATCAATCTATATTTATGTTTTCTGATTCTTCCACTTTTGAGTTCAGACTTACTATTGGGCTCCTCTTGTGAATGATTATCCAGCCACAAACTTAATGTTCTTTCCAGAATGTGCTTTCTCACTTTTTTGCAAAGTAGATATGCTGAGAATTTTCCAAATCTTCAGTTTTGGTTAATTTTTCTAATCCATTACCCACTTCTAAAGCCACTTCTACAATTTGAAAAATTTATTACAGCAATACCCTACTTCCTGGTACCAAAGTCTGTACCAGTTTTCTAGTACCACAGACTGGGTGGCTTATACAACAGAAATTAATTTTTTAAAAATTCTGATGGTGAGAAGTCTGAGAAAAGGTGTTAGCAGAGCTGGTTTCTTTTGAGGCCTTTTGTCTTGTTTTGTGGATTACTACTGTCTTCTGCTGGTGTTTTCACAATGTCATTCCTCTACACAGGTTTTTGTTCATTTTCTTATGAGGACACTAGTCACTGCAGATTATGGCTCACCCTAATGACCTCATTTTAACTTAATTACTATATAAAGACAACGTTCTCCAAATACAATCACATGAGGTATTGGGAGTTAGGATTTCAACATATGAATTCTGCAGAAACACAATTCAGCCCATAACATCCTTCTTGGTATGGAACCTGCATTCTATGAACAAGCTGGGATGCGGGCTCTCAGGACCCAATATTTTCAATCTGCCACCACTATGGCATAGCTTCCACCCTACTGATAAGGGCTAATTGGGGTAAAAGGGCCTCAGTCCTTTTGGCTGCACTTGACTGGAAGAGAGTTTCTACAAAAAGAAACTGAGAGTATTAGAGATGCCAGCAGCTTATTCTAAAGAGAAACTGTCACCCTAGTCTGGGAGTTAACAGGAGAGAGAAATCCATCTTCTTGTCCAAAGCTACCTAGAATTGATATCTCTCCAAGCTGTGAAAGGGTATGGTAGTGATAGGAGTGGGATGTGGCTCAAATGGCACAGATTTCTCTGTTCTTCCCAGATTTATTAGTTTCTTGAATAAATGTTTCTTTACTTGGTCTATGTCATTAGAACAATTTAAAAAGAATTTATATGTTAAATAATTTTTACCAGTTAAATTATCGTTTCATTGGTGATGTGTTCTGCCAAGTCCTTACACTACCATTACAGAAGTCCTGTCTCTATTGCTTCTTGAATCAGCTTGGATAGTTTGTGGATTTTAAGGAATTTGTCTATTTTATCTAAGTTGCTGAGTTTATTGGCAGAAATGTGTCCACTTTATTCCTATATCTCTTTCAATGTTTGAAAGATCTGTAGTGATGGCTCCTTTCTCTTTCCTGATATTAGCAGTTTGTATCTTTTTTGTTTTTATCCTTGTTGGCCCTGCTTGAGGTTTGTTTCATTGATTTCAAACAAACCATTTTGTGTTTAATTGATTTTCTTTGGTTATTTTTATTGATTTGCCTTATACTTTTTCTGCTTATTTTGATTTATTTTCCTCTTTTATCTAACTTCTTAACTATTGAGACTTTTCTTTTTTCCAATGTGAATATTTAATGATAAACATTTACCTCTAAGAACTAGTTAGCTATACCCCACAAATTTAATGTCATACTTTTTTATTTTGATAAAAATATTTTAAAATTTTTTCTGTGATTTCTTCTTTGATCCATGGATTATTTAGAAATATGTTTAGATCCCATATACATGGGGATGTTTCAGATATATCTTTTATTCTTTTTTAATTCCATTGTGGTCAGACATTATAGTTTGTATTATTTGAATTCTTTTACATTTCTTGAGACTTGTTTTATGGCTCGTTATAATAAATGTTAATCATGTTATATCAATGATCCAAAATGTTAGAATGTTGGTTAATAGAGTTATTCAAGTCTTCTGTATCTTTATTCATTTTCTGTCTACTTCTTTGATTATTTGTTGTGAGAGGGGTTATGCATCCATAATAGTGGCTATAATTCTGGATTGGTTTTATAAAAAAATTTATTATTTTATTTTTTATATATCTTTAAACTGTTATTAGGCACATATATATTTAGTATTGTTTTGTTTTTCTGTACAATTTGACAATCTCTACGTCGGCTGGCACTCAGTTCACTGAACCACAACATGAGGGCTCATTTTTTTTTTACATAATGATTCAGTAGTCACTCTTAACTGGGGCTGGAAACAGGAGGGACCTTAACTAGACCCTTTTAAGAAGTTGAGACGTTTTCCTACTACATGGTCTCCTTAACTTGATTTTAACAGGGTTTAGCACAACATCCCAAACATGTGGGTTCTTATAAATATTAATAAATATTAATGTGCAATGATAATTATATAAAACTTCTTTAGGTTTAGTTCACATTCTTACAACATAGATGAAACTCAGAGCATCTGAATACATGTCATTAATTTAGCTCAAATAAACTCAACATTTTTTAAAAAAAGAAACTCATGGAACTACTTTGACAATTTTATATGCTTAATCAACATGTTGGATATATGGGTAAACAGGGAACATACAAGTTAACTACAAACAACTCCTTCTGCTATTATTCACTGATGTCCACCAATAACATTACATAACCTACACAACAAACAGCATCAGCTTCCAAGAAGAGTAGCACATTGTTTTATACTTCTTGTATCTCATTTATTCAATAAAATTTTTTTTATGATAAGAAACATTACTGGTACTAACACTCATCCAGAAATTAATTACATAATGAAAAAATGATTTTCTAGGTAGAGGGAAAAATGTGTATCTTTCTGTAGATTAGTTCATATTTTGCAAGATATTTTGCAATTTTCTTCCCAGAACTATGAAAAATCTGACAAGATGATGAAATATATTGAATTGAGAAACCTTAAAGGCAGAAGCTAGTTTCCTTTTTCCCTTATATTTTTTGTATTGTACTTCTAAATAGAGTCTAGACCTTATCTTCATATTGTTTTATAGAACTCATATTTTGTATTTTTTTTGTATTTGTACTACTAGGTCTACAACAGGTCTACATTATTTTTTAACTTTAAAAATATTCAGTTTGGAAAGTCTCCCCTACTAAACTTCAAACAAACTAGGAGAAAGATCCTACTTGACTTCAGCAACAGTTTATCTTTCTTGTCTTGCTCATAAATATAGCTTCAATATAGGAATGAAAGCAAACTTTTCTTTCTGTACTTTTTTAACATTTGATTTAAAATAACCTTAAAAAGCTTTAGTTAAACATAGAAGTAGCTGCGGTGGACAAAAGGAGGCCACATACTAAACCTGAGAAGCTCAGGGGAGCCCTGCATGGTGGTGGGGTTTATAAACTCAGAGAAAGTAACTGCAAATGAATTTTCATGTTCAGACCAAACTAAAAGTGAGTCATCAGGTCCTGGGCCTGCAGCTTCCTTGACAAAGGCCAATCTTTACCTTAAATAAGCCTGTCTATTGCCTTTTTGCATCTAAGATAACATACCCTTGGAATCTTGACCCCTTGAGAATCTTCAAGATCCCTGAGGGCACACCCATACACCAGAGCCCAAGACTACAGAACCTCTCATTATTCTCTTGTTCCTGGAATACCATCTCTATGTGCTGTAAATGTTGATTGCTAACTCTCCTATACCTACCAATCTAAAAGAAGTGTCACTGCATTTTACTCTTTATTCAATATCAGGGATAGCCCCCCCCCCCCCCCCGCGCCAATAGCTTTCTCCTACCTCCCTAATGACCACCAATGAACTTTAAATAACCCTCCTTACTCTCTTCCTTTGATTTTAATACATAAAATAAGCTGTAAAACTGCCATTTTCTGACACATTTTATCAATCTGTTGAGATTTTGCTTCCCAGCAATTGTCACTATGGATCAAATAAACTCATAAAAATTCTCTACAGGTTTGGATGTTTCTTCTGTCAACATTACCCTCCAAAAATTTCTCACTTTTACTATCTGTGATTGCTAATAGAAATCAGCACCCAAACAAACAAACAAACAAAAAATCCCCAGGAAGATGGTAAAATATAAAAAGAAAAAGGAAGGTCTTCTATATTAGCCTCAACTAAGGCAAAAATTAAGGTGACATTTTTAGAGTAAAAATATTAGGAATTTTGTGCTGCATACTCAATTTTTATATTATTAAAAATACTAGTTTTAATAATAGGAGGCACTGTAAGTTTGAATCCTGGCTTGCTGATGGTTGTGAGACCTTGGTCAAGCTACCTGACCTACTTTTCTAAGCTTACTGTCTCCATCTATAAAAGGTAATACCTACCTCTACCAATGGTTGTTTAGTTAGATTTATCGAGTAAGCTGACTTAACACAGCCCTGGACACTTAACAAGCCTTGGTATGGTTCCTATCATTAAGTGAAATTAGTATCCCAGTGACTCTGTTAAAGCAATATACAGGCACACGGATGAGAACGCAGAGTTTAATCTTATTCACAGGTTATTACTAGGGAGGCATGTTAATTGCTGGACATGAGTATTACTTCGTTGAAATTAATTTTTTGCTAAAGATGTTTACTTAAAAAATACAATTGTCCATACCTAGTTGCATATATTGAGTAGTATTTTCGTATCTTACCGCATGTGGTTACCCAAACGCAAAGCTAATATTTTAGTTTAGCGCATTATTTTATTCCAGGTTCCACGTTGAGATCAGAGAAAACACTGCCTCAAAATGACTACCAGGTCAGACACAGGCTCAAAGATTCCCTAAGGAACAACGCTGGCAGTGCGTGGCGTAAGAAAATTTTGTACATTGGACGTGCAGAGAGCCCGACGTCAAGGAACGAACTCTCAAAGTACGATCACGCGGCCAAAGAGAAAGACCAGGTTCAGGGGCCGTGGCGCGCCGCTGGGCAGAAGGCGTAGCGGACGCAGCGGATGCAGCGGACGCTGCGGTACGACAGGGGCGGGGCCGAGGCCGTAAAGCAGCGTCCCGGGACCAAGTGGATGAGGACGTGAGAAAGGCATCGGTTGAGGTTCTTGGCTGTGCAGGTTATGGCTGGTCCCGTGAAGGGTAGTGGGGCCAGGGCTCTGGACTTGGTCCGAGCCCTGCCCCGTGTGAGTCTTGCCAACTTAAAGCCGAATCCAGGTTCGAGGAAACTGGTAAATGGCTGGTGGCGGTGCGGCAAACGCTGGGGGACGGCGACCAGGAAAGAGGGCCTTTACTGCTGGGTCGTGCAGGAGGACTCTATTCCCGAAGGGCGTGTAGTTGAACGTAGGGTTGCAGTCCTTAATTGCATGGAGGAAAATCTTTCCACGTGGTCCCTACTCTTAATAAGGTTTATATTTAAAAGTATAAGTTAATTAGAGTGGAGGAGCGAAGTCGCAAAAACTACAAAATGATTGCCTCATTCAAGGATTTAAAATGAAGTGCTTTCCCAATATATTTTTGTCTTCGTGGGAAAGATTTGAATTGATTCGTTACGTTAGATATCTCTTGAAAATTACTGAATACAGCTCTGAGAAGTTGACATTGCCATTTAAAAAAGAATACGTTGCTTTTGAGAGGTGACAGAAAATGAAAATATGTTAATCTTTAATATATGTAACAAGTACATATTTACAATTGCAAAATAAATTTTCTCGAATATCCTATATCATTGTGGATGTTTAATTCTAGCATTTTTCAATGCAAACCTGTCAGAGAATCCTTATTCGTTGCTTTTGAAACACAACTTGGACTCTGCAGGAGTCAGCTACATCAGAGGCAAAAATACTGATTCAGAGTGTGTAGACATTAGAGCAGCTAGAACTGTGCAGGGGCACATAGTAATTTTAGCTAGTATGTGTTGGTTGGATGAATAAATGGCAAAAAATATATATAATGAAAAGGTAAAATACAGTTTTAAAAAATGCATCTGTAGATCATAAAACTCTTTTCTCTTTGTAGGAAAGACGACGAAGAGGTCGGAGAAGAGGTAGAAAATGTGGCAGAGGCCATAAAGGAGAACGGCAGAGGGGAACCCGGCCCCGGCTGGGCTTCGAGGGAGGTCAGACCCCATTTTACATCCGAATCCCCAAATACGGGTTTAATGAAGGACATAGGTAAGGTTGCTTTTGCTCTTTAAAGTAAAAAAATCCCTAATTTTCACTGAAAATAATCTAAAAAATAGCTTGGTAATAATTTCAATTCACTTTGAAACCAACTTTTGCTACTGTTTCTCTGACCAGTTTTGGTAATGAAATTTAGCCTGGATTAGTAGGAGGAAACCTGAGACATTACACTCAGACCTGAAAAATGGAGATAATAATGCCTGCTCTCATGGTTGTTCAAAGGCTTAGAAAAATATATATACACAAATCTGGCCCTTTGTGTCACCCAATAATTAATGCATAATTCAGATAATGGGGTAGATTTTTCACAAATTTATTTGTGTAAATGAGTGAAATAAATGCTTGGAGAGGTAAATTATTTTTAGTGGAACAAAAGAAGTACTGGTTTTGTTTCATTATAAAAAAGCAAGCAATATTACATGTTTTTATTATATTCAAGAGCGTTTTATTTTGTTAAAACATCGAAATTGATGGAGGAAATCACAGCACAAAACTTTGAGCTGATTTGGAGAACTTACAGAAAGATAAGTTTGACTGAGTTTTTCAATTGTTACTTTCTTATGTTGTAGCTTCAGACGCCAGTATCAGCCTTTGAGTCTCAACAGACTGCAGTATCTTATTGATTTGGGTCGAGTTGATCCCACTCAACCTATTGACTTAACCCAGCTCGTCAATGGCAGAGGTGTGACTATTCAGCCACTTAAAAGGGATTATGGTGTCCAGTTAGTAGAAGAGGTAAGTCTCTTGATTAAACTTTTCTTGGAGTTACATAGAAGGCTATTTCTGATTTCCATATAATCATCACTTTGCCTTCTTTTATTTTTATCCCTTTTAAGTTGTCACAACCATTACATAGCAGTGACTGTGTTATACTCAAATGTGGTTTTAGGAAGCCAGCATTCTTTCATTGAGGGGTCTCTTTTCCATGGTCCTGGAATGCTCTGCTTGTACTCATTCACCTTGCTCCATCACTTTCTTTGGTTCTTTGTTCATATGTCACCTTTTGACATTTTTTTTATGAGGGACCACTCACATATCCCACCTCATTCCCCACCACCACACTCATACTTTGTCTGCCTTACCCTACCCAAAGTATTTTTCTTTGAATATATGCACACCTCATATTTATTACCAAGTAATGTATTTATTTTTTATTGTTTTCCTCACTATCATGTAAGTTCTTTGAGTGCAGGTACTTTGATTCATTGCTATTATTCCCTATATGGGCTCATGATAATCACTCAATATTTATGGAGGAAAGGAATAAATCAAATCCAATTCTAATTATAGTAAAGAAATTCTCTATTTTTATTAATTGGCCAGGAGTTTCAAAAGCAGATAAACTTGTACAGTGTTAATCAACTACTCCTCTTTCTTGTGTGTCAGTAATATAGCTGTGTGCACTAGAGGGAAGCATATGTTTATTGAAAAGTCTTTTACGATTCCTTTGGAAAAAATAAACCTTATGGGTAAAAGCAATACAAATAAAATGATTTGGAAAGAAAATACCAAATGCATAATTAAGCCTCAGTATTTACTGTGGATGTATAAGGGAATACATATGAAATTAACCTGTGGAAAAATCCATGACTTCCTCAGCCATTAAAGTGCAAATCCCAACAGCTTTTAAGCATGTGTCTATTCTAGCCACAATAATCTTGAAAACTATACAAGGTCCCTGGCTGCATAAGTACTGTTATACATCATTTATAGCTTTGTAAACTGGTTGACCTTTTCTGGATTTCAGATTTGCAATAAATAGTGACTATTAAGACTATTTTTATCCTTTAGCACAAAAATACCAATTTAGGAATGTATGTGCTAAAGGAAAAACAAAAGAAACCTAACCAATACAAAGATATTCCTAAAAATGCATTCCATAAAACTGAAAATAATGGAACTAATCCCAATGTCCAAGGATAGAGAAATGGTTAAGCAATTACAGCATAATAATAAAAAATCATAAATAATAATTTTTTTTATTATTTAACATTATGTTATTGAGTCAAATGTGCCATTGATTATACAAATACAGACAGGAATTATACATGGAAAAAAAATGTGAGAAAATGTGCCTTGAAATTGATGGAACATTTTTGAAATACATTAGAAGTTTATAATTAAGAAAAAGAACTTGATTGGGAGCCAGCTTATTTCAACCATACCAAATTAGCAAAATATTTTTGTCACCAGAAAAAGAATGCTAATGCCAACATCTTTTTATTTTTGTTAGAATGTTTTGAAATTAAAATAGCCCTGGTTGGGTGGCTCAGTTGTTTGGAACAGTGTCCTGTATACCAAAAGGTTGCAGGTTTGATTCCCAGCCAGGGCACTTACCTAGGTTGCAAATTTGATTCCTGATTGGGATGCATATTGGAGGCAACCAATTGATGTTTCTCTCTGAAATCAATGTCTGTCTGCCTGTCTCTCTCTCTTTCTCTACTCCCTCTTCCCTTTCCCCTTCTGCTTCCCCTTCCCCTCCTACTCCCCACCTTCCTTCCTCTCTGAAATTAATTAGCATATTCTCTGGTGAGGATTAAAAAAACAATAAAAGTAAAATATAGCACACACATCCTAACTAAAGTGACCAAAAAACAGATCTCTAAAGTTTAGTACTGCATTTTTTTAGTGTTGACCATTCTCAGATAAGGTAGACGACGACGTCGTCATCATCATCATCATCATCATCATCATCATCATCAATTTGGAGGCTATAATAAAATCAGTTGTGAATGCAAAGTAAATTTCTGTTGTTTTGCCTTTTTCCCTAGAGGGGGCTGACCTGTTTAAAGCTCAGATATTGTTGTCAGATCTTTTGTTCTTCCCCTGGTCCCAACCCACTCATCCCCCTTTTTATCCATTTCTTGACCTCCTGCTTATTTAGGGATAAGGAAATCAAGTTTATATTATATAGCATAGTGTAGTTATTGACATTGGTGAGTAAACCTTCAAAGTTGGATTAGAATCCTAGCTTTGTTATCTTGGGCAAGTTCCTTAATCTCTGCTTCAGAGTCCCCATCAATGACATTGCTTTAGCAGTAATTCTGCCAGAGTTGTTAGGAGGATTATACAGTCTAAAATTAATGAAGTACTGGGAGTGGGTAGTTATATTGGTGTCTACTAAATACATCAAATGGAAATACAGGGGTGGCAGTAATTGGTAAAACAAGATGGTCTAAAAAAAATCTTAAAAATTTGATATTGTTTGATAGGATGTCAGAGCAGAGGTATTTAAAGTAGGAATGACTAAAAAATAAAAATTAAAAAATAGGAATGACTTACATTGTAGGCACTTTGGAGGAGAAAACACTGTAGAAAGGAAGCTTGCCATAATTCATTACTTTTATTCAAGCCATCTATACTAACAGGCTTTGTTTTAACATATTACAGGGTGCTGACACCTTTAAAGCAAAAGTTAATATTGAAGTACAGTTGGCTTCAGAACTAGCCATTGCTGCAATAGAAAAAAATGGTGGTGTTGTTACTACAGCCTTCTATGATCCAAGAAGCCTGGGTAAGCTTGTTCTGCAGTCATTTGCTTCTTTGTGTCATCCTGGCTGCCATGAGGATTTTAAAAGTCCTCATGGTTCATTGACTTGTAGTTCAGGTACCTTGGTTTTCTGTTTTAGGATTTCTTATTAATGATGTGGCTAGTGGGACTCCATTTTTTAAAAAATATACTTCAGCCAGTATGTCATAAAGAGGTTTAGTTTTGATTTTAAACATGAAGCTTAAGTATGATGTTACCTATGCAAAAGAAATTCGTTATTCAGTGGTAACTGAGGAGTTACTTTGACTTTTAAGATGCAAATGTTTGAAAATGAAGCATTTCCATTTGCTTACTTAAGACAAGCCTATTTAAAAAACATTCTTAGAATTAAGTTCTGATCTTGGTAATATTTAAAAATTAATAAAAAGAAAAGTATTAAAGATCATAATATAGAGACAATGTTTGCAATTTTTTTTTTTATTTGAAATTTTTTTTTAGAAATTCTGTGCAAACCTGTTCCATTCTTCCTGCGGGGACAACCCATTCCAAAAAGAATGCTTCCACCTGAAGCCCTGGTCCCGTATTACACTGATGCAAAGAATCGTGGTTACCTGGCGGATCCTGCCAAATTTCCTGAAGCAAGACTTGAACTTGCCAAGAAGTACGGTTATATTTTGCCTGATATCACTAAAGATGAACTCTTCAAAATGCTTAGTACTCGAAAGGATCCAAGGCAGATTTTCTTTGGTCTTGCTCCTGGATGGGTGGTGAATATGGCAGATAAGAAAATCCTAAAACCTACTGATGAGAATCTGCTCAAGTATTATAGCTCATGAATTCTCTTCCAATAAAGCAGAATTGTAAGAGAATACTGGAAAAGGAAATGAAACATACATATTTCTCATTGCATTTTCTTAATTTGTAATTCTCCAGATGCCTTTTAAAAAAATGTTTTTGGTGTAATCATATCTTTTTTCTGTTTTAATCTAAAATAAAAATTAAAATGCAGTAAGCAAGGACTGAACTCAAACTGCGTGGGTTCTGTCAAGGATACAGACTCACTGGTGGTGTGCCAAAGGAAAATTATAACATGTAGAATATTTCTAGCCCTGACTAGTGTGACTCAGTGGATTCAGTGCTGGCCTGCAAATGAAAAATGTCACCGGTTTGATTCCCTGTCAGTGCATTTGCCTGGTTGCGGGCCAGGTCCCCAGTTGGGGGCGTGCGGGAGGCAATTGATCTATGATGCATCTCTCACACATTGATATTTCCCTCTCTCCGTCCCTTCCTGTCTCTCTAAAAATAAATAAAATATTTAAAAAAAAAAAAATAAAGACTTAATTAAACAAATATGTATTTCTAGCAGATTTTTTTTTACGACCTTTTCATCCAGGTCTTGTCATTGTTGCAAATTAGATTGAATGGGTAAGTGGGATGGGATTGATTTGCAGGCCTGCTCAGTCAAGGTTAGACCATTGCTAGTGAGCTGGTGCCCTCTCTTAATCAGTAGCTTCAAGGAAGCCCCGCTAACCAGTGTTCAGACAGTAAGCCTCCAACTCAAGGAGGTTAAGATGTGGAATGTGAGTTTAAGGTTTAAGACTGGTGGTGAGTGGCTTCTAAGTAGTATGGTATTTGCTACAAATTGAAACAAAAATTTCAAGTGAATTTTCTCAACACTGATGCATATTTATTGTGAACAAGCCGCTAATTAATTTCTGGAAGAAAATGTTCTAATTCTTACTAATATATATTTACTTTTTTCATAGATATTAGAGACCTTAGTCTTCCCGTCATTTTAAATGGTGTTGAGAAATTGTTCAGTCAGTATATAAGCTGTAAAAACAATTGGTAATCTGAAAATTAAACACAATTTAATATAAAAGATTCAGCAGTCAGTAAGCTTATTTAGATTTTCAAAGATCTATCTACCACAGCATGAATGAAATGATTCTCAGCTATGTGTTTTCTTAAAATAAATTAAAAAACCTAAATGGTGCAAAATTTTGTTTTGTTAGCTTATTTACCTCATATACTGCTGACCTGAAATTCAGTTTGTAATTTATATACCAAGAGTATATTTCAATTTTTATTCAGGATTATATAGTTTGGCTTTTATTAAACCATTCCTTAATACCAGAACTTAGGAGAATCTATTAGGGTCTTCTTCTGTGATAGTCACCTAGGAATTTCAGAGGACAGGCAAAAATTTAAAAGTGTGTTTTTATTTTATTTATTTCAGATACCCAAGTGACAGAGTTGGGGTGTTAGGATTGGTTTTAGCTCTATTAATAGGAAGCCCAAATCACAGTTGCTAGAATGAGATAAGTTTATTTTTCTCAGACAGTTCCAAGATCAGTGCAGGGCTGATTGCTCTCTCTGCCCCACAAAGTCACAGAGACTGGCTTCTTGTTTAGCTCTTTCTTCTCTAGAGTGAAATGGGCAACTTCATAATCCAAACTGAGATCAACAAGGAGTCAGCTTTTCCTAAGGAAGATTCAGAAAAACTGCTACCCAAAACATGCGGAAACCCCACTAGCCAGAACTTGGATACAATCCTCTTCTGCAAAGGGGCCTGGAGTCTTGTCTTTGGTAGCTTATATTCTTAGCTTAAAAATTCTGTTACAGTGGGTGAATAAGAGAGGATATATTGGATAACCAACATGGGAATTGACAACTATTTTGTTATTGACTATATTTCAGCCTTTAGGTTAATTGACTTAGAGTAGACAAACATCAGAAAAAAATGCAGAATTCTTTAATTTTATGTTTAGTATATTCACCATTCTGGAATGCTGAGTTCAGTAAGTTATGAAAGTCAGTAAGGTGGTTAATTCATCAATTTTATTGAGTAAAATGTTTTTGAAGATTGATGACATAGCTCCAGAAACCATCTGAGAAGAATCACTTTTACCTGTGCCTGCTTTTTCTAAACATTCTGTCAAGAAAGCCATCTTAACACTCCCGATGTTAAGTATCTCGAAAGTTATATTCGAATATAGTATATGGAGGAAAAGAGATAGATTGCAAAGAAAAATGCCAAGATACAAAGCAATTTTTTGACGATTATAATAAGCCACTAAGTGTTAGGAATATAATACATTTTCTTTTTTTAAAAATCACTGCTGGGGAAGTAATAAAAGTACTCAAAAGTAATTCATGTTCTGAAATTATGTAGTAGTGAAGTATAAATAAATAAAAATAATAAATAAAAGGTAAAAGTCCATATTCTCATTTTGTTGCCCAAAACCATTTCGCAGAGTTGACTAAACCACTTCAGTTTTGTAGTCCTTTTTTTCCTAATCAAAAAGGGAGACTTGTGCATTCTGATTTTGCTTATTATATCTAACATATTTCAAAGATTATTTTCTGAGTATTTTCCATTAGGGTATATAAACTTTGCACCTTACTCTTAAGCTGTTTGAAATAGCCATTAGATAAGTCCCCCCTTCCCTCTGACAGCTATTAGTCTATATCCATTCCTCTATTTGATCAGCTTATTTTGTTCATTACATTCCACACATAATTGAAATCATAGGGTATTTGTCTTTGTCTGGCTTATTTCACTTAGCATAAAAATCTTCAGGTCCACCCATGCTGTTGCAGAAGGTAAGATTTCCTTATTTATAGCCACATAGTATCCCATTGTGTGAATGTACTACAGCATTTTTATCCACTCATCTACTGATGGGCACTTGGGCTGTTTCCAGATCTTGGCTATTATAAATAACACTGCAGTGAACATAGGGATGCATATATTCTCTTGAATTAGTGTTTTGGGATTCTCAGGATATATTTCCAGAAGAGGGGTGATGTTGGGGACCACTTTGTGTGGTATTGGAAATTGTAGCCCTGCGCCAGCCAGGCCTCATAAGGGGCCTGTAAGTCTCTAACAGAGAACTGGGAATGCTGGGAGGCAGACATGACCCAATGCTAGTACCCAGGGTTCCCGTGGAATATCAGGCCTGAAGAACGCATTGTACCCTGTGAAGCTTGCTTTGCTTCGTATAGTCCTGTTAATATAAACCAGATGTTTAAGCTCCAAACAGGAGTGAATTCCTAAATTTAGGAGCCATTCATATCTTAATGACCATCTGATGTCAGCTTGTCTAACAGACCCTGACCTGAGGCAAATCTCTGTGTTCCTTCAGTTGTTATCTATGATCCCTATCTGTTTTCTGTAAACATAGCCTTTAGGCATTTATTGATAATCTTTCCATGTGTGCTGTATACCCTTGGGCATATGGGTTCTCAATAAAAGTCACTTTAGGGAAGGGCTCAGGGCATTCTCCACTTGAGGGAATTGCCACCCCTTTCTCCTGGACTACGAAGTGTGTCTGGAACGACTCATTTTTTCATCTATGACCTTCAGGAGGATCCATGGGGCAGGGACTCCCACAGGGTGATGGGTCTAAAGACATTTCCATATTTTTTTAAGGAAACCATACTGTGTTCCACAGAAGCTCTACCAGTCTGCGTATAGCAATAGTGCACTAAGGTTCCCTTTTCTCCAGCACTTGTTTCTTAATTTATTGATGTGTAGCCATTCTAAGAAGCGTGAAGTGATATTTTGTGGTTTTAATTCACATTTCTCTGATGATTAGTGACATTGAACATTTTTTCATGTCTATTGGCCATCTGTAGGTCCTTTTTGGAGAAGTGTCTTTTCAGGTCTATTGCCCGTTTTTTAATTGGATTGTTTGTCTTCCTGGTGTTGAGTTGTATAAATTCTTTTGTATATTTTGGAAATTAACCTCTTACTAGATATATCATTGGCAATGTACTCCCATACAGTGGGATGTCTTAATTTTTTAATGATTTCTTTTGCTGTGCAAAAGCTTTGTAGTTTGGTGTAGTCCCATTCATTTTTTCTGATTCCGTTGTCCTAGGAGACACAACAGCAAAAATATTGCTATAAGAGATACTTGAGATTTTACTGCCTATGTTGTCTTCTGGAATTTTTATGGTTTCATGACTTACTTTTGAGTCCTTTATCTATTTTGAATTTATTCTTGTGTAAGTTGGTGCTCTATTTTCATTTATTTGCATGTACCTGTCCAGTTTTCGCAACACCATTTATTGAAGAGAGTGTCTTGTATGTGCTTGCCTCATTTGTTAAATATTAATTGACCATAAAGGTGTGGGTTTATTTCTGGGCTCTCTGTTCTGTTCCATTGATCTATATGCCTGTTTTTATGCCAGTACCAGTCTGTTTTGATTACAATGGCCTTGTAGTATAATTCGGTATCAGGTACTGTGATCCCTCCAACTTTGTTCTTTCTCAAGATTGTGGAGGCTTTTTGGGGATTCCTTTCCTCCCATCCCATTCCCTCCCCTCCCCCTCCCCTCTCTCCCTCCCTCCCTCCCTCCCTTCTTTCCTTTTCCATCTAAGTTTTTGAAATGTTTGTCCTAGATCTGCGAAATATGCCATTGGTATTTTAATAAAATTGTGTTGAATCTATAGATTCCTTTGGGTAGTATGGACATTTTTATGATGTTAATTCTTCCAATCCATGAACACGGTATATGCTTCCACTTAATTTGTATCTTCCTCAATTTCTTCAATTTATTCTTAGATACATTTCATTTGTTAAGAGATTATTTTCTTAATATCTGTTCTGATAGTTCTTTACTGGTGTACAAAAATGCAACTGATTTTTGCATATTTATTTTGTATATTGCTACTTTGCTGAATTTGTTAGGTCTAATAGATTTTTGGGGGAGTCTTTAAAGTTTCCTATATACAATATCATGTCATCTGTGAAAAATGACAGTTTTACTTCATCCTTTTCATTTTGAATGCTTTTTATTTCTTCTCGTCTGATTGCAGTAGCTAGAACTTTCAGTACTATGTTGAGTGGTGAAAGTGGACATCCCTGTCATGTTTCTAATATAAAGGGAAATCCTTTTAGTTTTTGCCCATTAAGTTTGATGTTGGCAGTTGGATTGTCATTTATGGCTTTTATTATGTTGAGGTATGATCCCTCTAGGTCCACTTTGCTGAGAGTTTTGGGTTTTTTTTTTTTTTTATCACAAATGGGTGTTGGATTTTATCAAATGCTTTTTTGGCATTTATTGATGTGATCATGTGATTTTTATGTTCATGTGATGTATCACGTTTATTGATTTGAAAATATTGTACAAACTTTGCATTCCCAGAATTAACTGCACTTGATCCTGGCGTATGATTTTTTTTTTTAAAGATTTTATTTATTTATTTTCAGAGAGAGGGGGTGGGAGGGAGAAAGAGGGAGAGAAACATCAATGTGTCAGAGAAACCGATTGGTTGCCTCTTGCATGCCCCCAGTTCGGGACCGGACTCACAGCCCAGGTGTGCGTCTTGACTGGAATCAAGCCTGCGACCTTTTGGTTCTCAGGCCTGTGCTCAATCCACTAAGCCACATCAGCAAGAGCTGTATGATCTTTTTAATGTATTGCTGGATTTGGTCTGCTAATATTTTGTTGGGGATTTTTGCATCCATGTTCATTTAGGGATATTGGTTTATAATTTTCTTTGTAGTGTCTTTATTTGGTTTTGGAATTAGGAAAGTGCTGGTCTCATTAAAAGAGCTTCAAAGTCTTCCCTCTTCTTGAATTTTCTGGAATAGTTTGAGGAGAGGTGTTAGTTCTCCTTTGAATATTTGGTAAAATTTGCCTTGAAGCCATTTGATCCAGGACTTTTGTTTGCTGGGATGATTACTGCTTCAATTTCATTATTTGTAATCATCTATTCAAGTTTTTTTATTCTTACTCATTCAATTTGAGAGATTGTATGTTTCTAAAAATGGAATTTATCCATTCAGTTTGGAAGATTATGTTTCTAAAAATGGAATTTATCCATTTTTCCCGTGTTGTCCAATTTATTGGCATATAGTTAATAGTATTTTCTTACAATCCTTTGTATTTCTGTGATGTCAGTTGTTACTTCTCTTTCATTTCTGATTTTATTTATATAGGTCTTTTTTTTTTTCTTGATGAGTCTGGTTAAATGTTTGTCAATCTTGTTTATCTTTTCAAAGAACTAGCTCTTGCTTTCATTGATGCTTCTTACTGATTTTTTTCTTTTTCTTTTTTTTTAGTTTTTTTAGCTGTACAGTTAGATTGTTTGAGATTTTCCTTACTTTATCATGTTGGCCTGTAATGCTCTGAACTTCCCTCTCAGAACTGCTTCTGCTGTGTCTCATAGATTTTGGGTTGTTTTGTATTCATTTTCATTTGTTTCTAGATAATTTTTTATTTCTTCCTTGATGTCATTATTAACTCATTCATTGTTTAATAACATACTATTTAGCCTCCATTTATTTGAATGTTGAGTTTTTTTGTTGTAGTTCTAGTTTCATAAAATTTTTGAGAAGATGCTTGATATGATTTTAATATTCTTGAATTTGTTAAGACTTATTTTGTTTTTTCCACTTGTTTTTTTAAAATAATGTTTGTTCTATTAGAGTTGTCTCAATTTTTCCTACTTTGCCCTCCCCACCTATCTCTCCCACCGCCCGCTCCAACAGTCAACTCCCACACTGTTATCCATGTCCATGGGTCATTCATACATGTTCTTTATCTAGTCCCTTCCCCTTCTTTCCACCATTGTCCTTTCCCAACCCCTCTGGTCACTTTCAGCCTTCTCCATGTTTCCATGCCTGTGGTTTATTTTGTTCATTAGTTTATTTTGTGGAATAGATTCCACTTATAGGTGAGATCATATGGTATTTGTCTCACTGACTGGTTTATTTCACTTAGCATAATATTCTCCAGTTCCATCCATGTTGTCACAAAAGGTAGGAGATCCTTTTTTTTTTAAATGCAGATTTTATTTATTTATTTTTTTAATGTCAAAATCCATTACAAAATATTAAAAAAAATTTAAATTCATTATAAAGTTTCAGCAATTAAAACAATATGACAACAGCAGAGAAATAATCAAGTAGAATAATGAAATAAAATGAGCATTCTAGAAACAAATGTATATATCTAACAATGTAATATATGATTAAACTGATATTTCAAATCAATGGGGAAAATAAGGCTTATTCAACAAATAAGGTGCATGGACCACTATTACTTGAAATAAAACAAATATAGAGCCCTACTTAACTCACTATACAAAAAATATTCAGGTGAGTTAAAAATCAATATTAAAATCTAAGGAGTTTTATGAGAAAATACAAACTAATATTTTTCTTACCCTGAAGTAAAATATTCAAACCCAGAAGCTATAAAG